CACTAACAGATACTGTAAGTATGCAGATAAGGGCTTTATTTTATTTTTTGTGACTTTCCTGATATGTATTCTTGTTCCAAGTCAGTGACTCAGAATGAATTGAGAGCTAATAGGTCAGTATACAGTAACTGCCAGTCAACTAGCAGGTTAACAGAAGCAATGGCAGCCCTCATATTTCTCTCATTTTAGTTTAACTTTAAGGGCTTGTTCAGCACTGCATGATTTAAGAATATTTATGCCCGGAGTTCTTCTGAAGGGCTTGTTCACACCACTCCCATGATTAGCTGCTGGAACACACTGGATCGCAACATGGCCGACTCCCTGCCTTCTGGGGCGGGAGGGGGAGTGGTGGTGCATTTAAGTCAATGGTACCACAGTCACGCCCCCCCACCCACAGTGCAATTGCCTGGGCGAGGCTGCAGTGACATTGGCTTGAATGCACTGCCATGCCCCCCTCTTGCCCCAGAATGCAGGGAGCCAGCCAGGATGTGGTCCAGTGTGTTCATGCAGCTAAGAGTGGTGTGAACAAGCCCTTCAGAAGAACACAGGGCATAAATATTCTTAAACCTTGCAGTGGGGTAACCCCTGCACTGCACGGACTGAGTGCTCAATTTCGTCTTGGAATGAAAATAAAAGTTATCTTCACCTGAACCTTGGAGCAGTTGGCATTTAGACCGGTCCCTGCAGTCTCACTCCCCCTCCGCTCCAGCGGTCTAAGTCTCCATTCACATATGGCGTTTGCGTTTTACAAGTGGCAAAACGTGTGGCACGAAAACGCTCAATTTTTTTTTACATTTGCACAAATTCTGCATGTCTGCGGCTATCACTATAACTGCAAAAGCACAGAATCTGCCCCTAAAATCGTGCTTGGACTATTTTGCGGGATACGCGGTTTCGTACTAAGTGGAAGCCGCAATAGCACAATGGAATGCATTCCTTTTTTTCGTCTAGCGCGTTTCTGAGAGTACAAAGACACGTCGAAAACCGTTCATATGTGAATGGAGCTAAAGGTCCTGAGAGTCATTATGTCCAATACAGTGTTGCTGAAGCGGAGGAGCAGACAGACTGGTCCAACAACCAGCTCCGAGGTTCAGGTGAGTATAACTTATTCGAAAACGAGCACTTAACCCTTGCAGTCCGGGGGTAGCCTCACTCCAAGGGTTAAGAATATTTATGTCCAGAGTTCTTCTTAAAAGCACACTTCACTCTAGGGAATTCCATTGTTATGTGTTAACCTGTTGGATTATAGCATGTGTTGCATTAAGGTATCCCATTCATTTAGAATGAGCTGCCAGTGTATGGAAACAGAACAAAAACTGGACCTGCCCCTTTTTCGGTCTATGGACATCTAGTGTACTCGTGCTTTAGGGAGCCATTCTAATGAATGGCACAGCAATGCACCATAGAGACTGCATTACCCAACCATAAGTCTAAAGGGGGCCTGTAGACTTCTCTTATGTGCTTCATTTTGGTCTGTTAAATATACCATTGAAAGTTTTTTGTTAGATCTGTGTGAGAAGTGCAAAAAAATACCTGCTAACCAGGGATCAGCTGGGGCTTGGTGCAAACCCAGTTTGCCCAAGCCTACTCAAAACTGTGCCTGACCCCTCCCCCTTCATGCCCAATCAGTACTAGCAGTGGCATTCCTCACCTCTTTGTAACATGTTGCTGCGGGGCATGGAATAGGTCTGCCCCAAGTTATATTCGGATGGAATGGAGTGTGTTGATCACAGTTTTGAGCTGCCTTGGGCAAACTCAGAGGAACTGGGTTTTCACCAAGTCCTAGATTATCACTGCTGCTGATCCTGCTATAAATCCAGTGAGCACCTAACTTCCTGTGCATGCTGCTGCACTGAAATCTGAAGCAGTGTTATCAGCACTCTCCAGTTCACCTTTGTTGACCACAGAATCCCTTGCCCCCATGTTTTGGAAATGAGGAGAGGAGGTTTTCAGTAGTCCATACCAGAAGCAAGCATCCTAAGGTGACACTGCTGTTGCTCCATAGATATAGTGAATAAGTGAGCATTGTCACCTTAGGACAGGAAGTGTGTCACTGGCAGGATCTCCAGGTGAAAATAGGACACAAAAAGCCAGAATAATACTAATGCAGCCACCACATCTAAGGCATGATAAGCTGCAATTTTACATTTTTGCTTTTGAGTTTTGATTTGCGGCAAAAAACACAGTGAGAGGAAATCACTAAAACTGGAGCAGTTGTGCATGGCAACCAATCAGCTTCTAGCTTTTATTTATAAAGCTTAACTGAAGATTGAGGCTAATTGGTTACTATGGGCAACTGCACCTGATTGTGTCTGCTCCAGTCTTAGTAAATCCCCACCCAATGAGCATACTTTGCACCAGTAAGTGGACTTTTCCCCATTTTGGCAAATGTCCACGAATATCTGCCCAGATAATGGCTTCATACATTTAATAATATAGCAAACATTTAGTGCAGAAAGCAATATTAACATGCGTACCCACCATCTATGGAGAGCAGTCAGAACAAAAGTAAAAAGGAGTGACTGCTGAATGGTTTCATTGGGTCGCTGCCTATTTCGCTTTCATTTATTAAATACACCCAGCACTGAGTGTAGCATAGTTATTTGCATATCTCCACTGCATCAGCATTCACAATGTAGTTCATTTAAGTTCATTTATTTCTAAATAACTACAAGATGTAACAATAACAAGATATATATTGTATAAACACCACACACAATCATTCCTGGCAATACTGTAAGGCAGCCATTCCTCTTCTGTACCACAATGTAGAAACACACACACACAAAAAAATAATGATTGCAGTTCCTGAAAGCACATAGCACTGTCCCCAAATACAGACAATCCCAATATCTCTATTCACAAATGAGAGAATAGCATCTAAAAACCTTTTAGCTTATTCTGCTTGCAGAGTGATTTTTTTGCATATTTATCATTTTAAGTAGGCATACAATCTTGACAGCGGGTGCCATTTTGAAGCTCACTGAAGCCTAGAAATATAACAACACAAGACAGCACTAGGAACAGCACTGCACCACCCCAAGGTACAAGAAACCAGAAAATGTGGCATTTACAGTGACATCAGCTTTTGTTTTTTCTCCAGTGGAAACCATCTTCAGGTGGTTTAGAAATGACAAAGAAGCTCTCTTTACATATGCCAGTGCAGCTAAAGGCATACATCAAGCCTAGAATGGGTTACAACATGAACTACAGGTAAAAGGTACCAAAAACATATAAAAATAAATATATCTAATAAGTCACAGCCAACTGTCAACCAATCCAACAATGCATGTCAGGCCAATAAACCATTCTTCTTTATTGAGTTCTTCACTTTTGGCACAAGTAGCATCCACAGACTTCATGTATCCATTTTAATTCGTTTTCAGCTATCAAAGCCAACCTGTTTTATGTGAGCTGGCCAAAAGATTTGATCACTAATGCATATACATATGTAGATTCCTAATCTGCTCTGAGAAAATCAGCCAGATCTAGGTTCTACAAAGCCATTGACAGCAATCTCTGTGATTTACAGGCATGTGCTAGCACTGGGTCAGGATATTTATTTTTCATTTTTTAACTTATGTTTTGAAAACAGCTGGATAGGAAAAAGGTAAGCATCCTTGTATTGACAGGGGGAAGGAAATACAAAGAAATCTTTACCAATCCCATACAATATTTCTTAGACAAGGTGTGCCACCTAGGTGCTTTATTCATAAATAAGGTGATGACAAACTGATGTGCATAGAGTGATCAGCACCTTTTAAAACAGTACAAAGAGCAGCTTTTTTTGTGGTGAAGATTCTCTTAGGGAGAAAGATGCTGAGGTCCAGCAAGAGATTCAGGCAGAAGCACACACACACACACACACACACAAAAAGCCCTCCACGCCCCATGCTACTGCGCATGCGTGAGTCAAAGACAAAGGAATTGGTAATTACTGTAAAGTCTCATTCATTTCCACTGCTGTGTTCATCATTTAAATAGAGACGAAGACTTATGGATCTCATTAACGATCACCCTACATGTCAAGTCTATTCTGCTCGCCTAAGCCAAACCGATCAATGATCACCCCATTAGACAGTAGCGATGTACAAAAGGATCAGGGTTGGAATGAAAGCATGAGCAGTAGGTGTCTTCACGTGCCATGGATGAAGAAGACACAATAGTGTGCTGTGCAATGGCTGCGGAGCTGCTCCGGCCAGATGTCATCCAGCTGTTGCATATGCATAGGCACTGCATCAAGCCAAGCATTCCAAGTAGTCTACACATTGCTGCCCCCAAAGTCTGGCAGATCACGCTATTTTACCATCAAAACCTCCGAGATCATTTATCACAAGCTAGCCTAAAAAAAAAAAAAAGGGGGGACCACTGGTGACTGAATGATCAGAGCGATGGGGCTGCGATTAACCCCTTCCTGCCCTGTCAAAGCATCATCATCAGAGACAGCTGAAGCAAGAAACGCCCAGTGTGACTAGAACAGAATCTACATAATCCAAAGTAGGCAAGAATCGGAGCCCTGGACAAAAGGAACACATGAAAAGAACAGTATTTAGGTCATTCATCCCTCCAATGGAGGGGATTCCAGATTAATATGTGCAGATCCCTTAACGAGCAGGCACAGCTTATTCTACTGAGATCTGGTTAGTGACGATCAGTTTGACCAAAAACCTCCCTTGCCCCCCTTTTTCTATTCTTCCCTTCCACCAAAATTTATTTTCATCAGTGCTCAAGCTACTACTCATAGATCTAAACACGTGCTGTATGTGTTCTATAGGTATGCCTTCATGTCAATGACAGTCTGAGATGGTGGCTGATTTTAAAAGATGACAGTTGCTGTATACAGATCCAGAGCGGTCTTTACCGATTCACACCTGCAGGTAGATCAGGGATCAGATTTTATTTTAAAGTAGTCCATCATTGCCCATGCATCAGTGTGTTGGCTTTCAGATCCCCCGCTATATAGAAATGAATTGCTGTCATATGTGTATTGTCCTGCTTACCTTGTTAAATCTCCTGTGTCTGTCCTTGTGTGTGTTGTGTACCCCGGTGTCACAAAGACTCGTGCGAGGCTAGTGCTTGCCCTGGTTAGTCTGGCTTGCCTGTGTCTCCCTCGCTCGGTGGCTGGGACTGTAGTGATTAGAAGCCGTTGTAGCAATGTCTGTGCTGCCTCTGCATTTCTCACTCTCCCTCCTCCCCTTCTGTTTCTTTTTTTCCTCTCTCTCTCCACCCCCTTGTCCCCCCCTTTCCCACTTCTCTCCCACTCCCTCCCTCTCCCCTGCCCATAAGCCACTCTGGGGCTTTTTTTTTTTTTTTTAAATAAAGATTAAAGTGTGTGTGCTGCTCATACGTACCCTCAAATTTAGGAGAGCGCACTAGTGAACACTGGGGATGGGAAGATGTGTTGCTGTCAGTCATTACTGACCTGCTAAGTGAATTGCAAGCACCTCTACAGGACTCTCTTGCACTGGATTGTATGGTGGGGCATTCCTGATTTCAACCGACTAACTTCATTTGGATAACATTTGCTACTCTCAAAATTAGTATTTCTGGAAGCATTACAAGCAAAGATTCTTAGAAGATATCACCATGTGGGTTATTATGAGTGTTTATTGTTTCTTTCCATAGCTAAAAGATTCTTAACTGGTGGCTGAAGATTACACAATTACTAACTATGGGTGTTAGGTGTGCACCAGTTACTAACCATGGGTGGTCCAGCTGGTTAATGCAAGTTCAGGTAGAACTGACCCTGGGATAGTCAGTTCAGGTATGGAACATGATCAGTGCCATTGCTGGTTAATGGAAAACCAGATGGGGACTTACCAATGGACTAGTAAATTCTGGTATGGAACATGATCAGTGCCATTGCTGGTTAAAGAAAGTTCAGCTGAGACTGAACAATGGAATAGTGACTTCTGGTATGGATCGTGATCAGTGCCATTGCTGGTTAATGAAAAACCAGGTGGGGACTGACCAATGGAATAGTACATTCTGGCATGGAACATAATCAGTGTCATTACAGGTTAATGAAAGTTCAGCTGGGACTTACTAATGTACTAGTTAATTCTGTTATGGAACATGATCTGTGCCATTGCTGGTTAATGAAAGTTTAGGTGGGACTGACCAGTGGAATAGTGAATTCTGGTATAGGACATGGTCAGAGTTGTTGCTGCTTCTAGCAAACCAGAAATAGTCTACCATGCTATGTACTGCATGCTTTGTATACCTTGCTTGACTCCTTCTTATGGTAGCAGTTAGATAACTTGTATTGATTTTATAGTAAAATAGCTGTCTAGTTCTTTAAAAGATTTGCTAGTTCCTCTATTTCTCCCTTCAGAACAATTATTTAGGTTAAAGTAATTGTAGATGTTATTTTAATTGTTGATCGCATACTGAAAGATTTCTTGCTTTTGTAATGTGCTAATTTTCAGAACTTTGGCTCCCTCTGCAGAACATGTTGTACTGCACACTGATGTGCGCGGTGAACTGCCATAGCTGGTTGCTGATGACTGAATGTTACTATGAGAACAGTCAATTGTTTTATATGAAAATACAGTGAGTGGTTTCTCTCCCATTTAATACAAACAAATCTCTCTCGCTCAAAAGCATGTATTCTATACAGGGAGCTGTGGATTTGTTTTGCTAATGTTGTTACTGTGTATAGGATTTACTTTGTTGCTAATGCCTAAACTCTATGTACACTAGAAAATGCAACATTGTGTCAGCTTATTACCTAAACTGTATTTACATACACTAAATCTGTCTTTCTCAACCTTTTTAACCCAGTGGAACCCTTAAAATAACCAGCCTCAGGAATCCCCTGCTAATAATTTACTATATATACGGCTCATGTACATTAGTGTGATGATTGCTGGGAAAAATGTTCCTTACATTTGTGATCATTGGGAAGATTGACCCTCTTGCAGAAAGCTAAAAGATCATTGGTGTGAACCTCTGGATGAACCCTGGTTTAGGAAGCCTACAGTACACCCTTTTCAATCCATTAACAATAGAAAGTATCATCAGGAGCCTGAAGATCCTACATATAGCTTGTTTGGTACCTGGTACTTTGCAATGAAAGTCAAGGGATGGCCTGTTGCATGCCACAAAAATGTTCAGAAGACTATACAAAATGTATGTGCAGGCAGTTGAAAGAGTCTGGATGCACGTCTTTTGTCTAAGGAGCATGCTAGGCTGGTTTGAATGATGCTCGGGAGACAAATGCCGAACAGGCCGGTGTGCGCACGCGCACACTGCCCATTCAGCATTGCGGTCATCGGAAGCACGCCCCTCAGGGGGGCGGGCTTGCGATGATCGCAAGTACGATCTGCTTGTCCAAGATGGGCAGATCGTACTTTTTTAAAATTACTTTACAACCATCGCAAGACTAAGGTCTTGCGATGGTTGTAAAGTGTATGGCCACCTAATGTATGCATTGAATAACTTTCCTTGTTCCCTCCTCCCCCCTGAACAACATGCAATTAAATTTTCTCAATCAAATCATTTGTGATATCTGGGTCTGTCTGTGGTTCTGTGCTCTGGGTTTGGTAGGAGGAGTTTGCAGGTTCTTGTAAATTTTACAGCTTTCTGCCTTTGATCTTTTAAAAAATAATTAAATTAAATAATGCACCCCTGGGATCCCTTTAGACGTACCTGATGGCCACGGGATGCTGCAGACTTTAGCTGTGCAATCTGCTGACTGGTTGCAGGCATGTCTAAAGAGATGCTGGGGATGTGTTCTTTCACATGGCAGAGAAAGCTAATAGCTGTGAGAGGGGCAACTACAGTACAGATCATGGGCATGTGTGACTTATGTATGATGGAGGTTGTTCTGACAGAAAATGAAGGTGAGCTCAAGGGAATTCAGCGTGATTAGTTTTTAACATTGGAGAGGAGTTGCTACAAGTGTTAAAAGAGGTAATGCTAGGGTTCAGCTTTAAGATGCCTACTGAAATAGCATAAAAGCAGAGCTCTGAGCAAATAAAATCTTAACTCTTGCAGTGGGGCTACTCCCATACCGCAGGGGTTAAGTGCTTGTTTTGTCTAGGGAGCTAAAATAACTGAGTTATGATTACCTGAACCACAATCCCAGCTGGCTGCTAGACTGGTCCCTTCAGCCTCGCTCCCCCTCTGCTCCAGCGATCCTTAAGGTGCCCATACACCTTACAATTATCAGACAAAACTTTTCATCCGATGATCGAATAGTCGTACGATTTTCGTACGGCAGCCCCATTCTGCCTCGATGATCGCAAGATTAATTTAGCCGTAATTAACTAAAAGCACCTGGACGAAATGCGGTAATTGATTTGCCGTATTTTTGTTAGCGCAAGCGCAGTGTAGATCGTACGACTTTTGACGGACGGAAATGCCAGCAACCTCGCGAAAATCGTACGATCTAGCAAAGTTTTCAAACATGCTTGACCGTCAAAAGTCGTACGATTGTATAGTACTGTCGGTCGGACACTGCAATGCACACATACGATTATCGGCCGAAAAGTCGATCGCATACGAAAATCGTCCAATAATCGTAAGGTGTATGGGCACTTTAAGGTCCTGTGAGTCTGTGTATAGGACTGGAGGACACCAAGGGACATACTGGAGGAGACGGGCTGGAGGGAGGAGTGTAAGGGTGCCCATACACTGTGCGATTATCGCACGATAATCGCGGGAAATCCCGCGATCGTACGATAATCGCAAAGTGTATGGAAGGCGTGCAACCGTTTTTACTGTACGGTCGCACGTCTTTTGACTAAGGAGCATGCTAGAAAACCAGCCGAGAATCGTACGATTTTCGGTTGGTTTTTAGCATGATCATAAGATCAATGCCGCATGGGCCGGTGTGCGCACGCGCACACTGCCCGTTCAGCATTGCGGCCATCGGAAGCCCGCCCCTCAGGGGGGCGGGCTTGCGATGATCGCAAGTACGATCTGCCTGCCCAAGATAGGCAGATCGTACGTTTTTTAAATTACTTTACAACCATCGCAAGACTAAAGTCTTGCGATGGTTGTAAAGTGTATGGCCACCTTTAGAGCAAGCCCAGATTGCAGTTCAGGTGAGTATACCTTTATTTCAGCTGTGTAGACAAAATGAGCACTTAACCCTTGCAGTGCAGGAGTAGCCCACCCTGCAAGGGTGACGATTTTGATTTGCCTGGAGTTGTCCTTTAAATTAGTTTCATCGCGCTGACTACATCTGGATCAGGAACCAGTAATATGCCTCCCAATTGCTTAGGGCCCATTCACACCAGATTCCCAGGGTTATTCACAAAAGGGTGAAGAGTTTGGTAGAAGGCAGGAGAAGTGAGTAATCTAGGACAACATAGCTGATTTGGAAAGTGAGCTGAATCGGAGAATTTTTCCAAATCGGCTATTTTGGCCTAGATTGTTCACTTCTCCTTCCTCCTCCAAACTCTGCACCCTTTTGTGAATAACCCTGTCAGTGTTTTTGAATGCATTCCTACTGCATAGACAGTTCAAAATCCATGTACGCTAATGAGCATAGCTCACACCTTGGCTTTAAGTTGTAGTGCAGTGAAAAAAAGTACAGCATGCTGCATATGGGATCATTTGTTAACATGGTCACATGGATTCTTGTATCACATAACTTCATGCTTGAATGCTTGTGAGGCTCCATCCACACTGGGGCGGCTATCCACACATACTCTTACAGCCGCAGACTGATCTGCTCCAAACAGAAAAAACAATGCACTTTAATGTGCATTATTCAGACTATTGCGGAGACCAGGCAGTATGAAACTGCATGGCCCCCAAAATAGTGCAAGCGCGATAATCATGCGGATTTCGCACATTCACTGCTATATAATGGCCGAAAACGAGCAGAATCTGTGCAGTTGTTTCACATATATCGCTTGCGCGGTCTTCAGCATGGAAAACCGCATAGGAGACGCAAATGCTATATGTGAATAGAGCCTTACAGCATGATAATACATTGAGGTTCATTCATAAAACAAACCAACAGAAAGTTTAGAACTACAGAAAAGAGTTTTGCAACATTTGATTGTTTGTAAATGTATGTTGCTAATAAAGCACACTTTATATGTTGTATTGTGACTATGCATCTTAAAGTAAAAGAAAAGGCTAACCAATCTACCATTGGGCAATTACATTTTATCAAGGGGCATGAGAAACTGGGACTGTTGTGGAGGCCGGGGCATATGATCGATTCCTGATGG